AGGACCCGGCCCCGTCCCCTCGCCCTTCGGTGGCGGCGGGTGTGAGGAGCAGTCTCTGGCTGGTGGAAGACGCAGGAGCAGAACCCACCGCGTGGGGGCCTCCCGGTGAGGAGACGGAGCCTGAGTCCCCGGGCGCTGAGAAGACGGACGTGAACGGCCCTTCTTGGACTGCAGACGTCTCCCTCACAGGGGCTGGGCGGGGAGCACTGGACAATCCGCTTGCTGCATCAGGCTCCGCTGGGGTACCCCTGGCAGATGCAAAGTCAGAGGGGGATGTTCCGCCTGAGGGATCGGGTCTTCCTGCCAAAGGCCCATCTCCCTGAGGGGATGCGCCCGGGTTGGCCAAAGCTGGTGTTTCTCCAGCAGGCTCTGCCGCGTTGCCAGGGCTCAGCGCCGGCACGGAGGGCGAGGGGCTTGCTGCACTCTGGAGGTTGGGGTTGGAAACTTGGGTTTCTCCATAAGCCACAGACACTGGCCTTGCTGTCTCCCCTCCCTTTGCGGTGGGTGCCGGAGCTATCTCCTGAGCCGAGGATGGCTGAGGCGAATCCATGGCCAGCGCTCCGGGGCGCCCTGTCGGCAGCTCGTCCGTGGGAGCCGGATGCCACTCTGTGCCCCAGCAGGAGGGGTCTGCCTCCCCCTGGGCGTCCGCCTGAGGCGTGGATGCCTTGGTTGCTGCTGGCACTGCACTGTTGCCTGCTAGCTCTGCGGCAGAGGGTGCAGCCACCTCACCAGCAAGGCCTCCAGCAACGTCTCCTCCCGGACCTTTGGCGGCGGCAGCGGGTGACTCGGACGCTGCGAGAGACGGAGCCACGAGCGCGCCCGTCACGCTTGCCCTGGCAGAGTCTGCCGATTCCTCTCCCTCCCCAAGCACAACCTGTCCTGCTGTCCCTGAGGCAGAGGGCTGGGGAGAACTGGGGGCACCAGGGAATCCAGCCAAGGAAAATCCCGTGTTCTCAGTCTCAGAACCAGAGGGCTTGGTGGGTATGTCCCTGGGAGACGGGACGGCAGACAGGGCTATTTCTCCAGCCTGCGTAGGCTGGTCTGTCACGGCCCCAGGCTCTACAAGAGAACGAGGGGGACCTGTGGCGTTGGACGAAGCCTCGGTATCTCCTATCGGCGGCACCTCTGTGTTGGCCGGACTCCATGCTGTGTCTGAAGGCCTGGGATTCATTTGGCTCTGGGTATCCATCACAGGTACTGAGGAGTCCTCATGTGTGGTGGACCCTGACTTATCTGCATCTCCTCGTCCTTCGGGAGCAGCAGGAACTCTCTTGCTCTCTGAAGCCGGTTGATCAGAGCCAGTGATGCTAGAAAATGCACCGGGAGAGAGCCCCTCTCCCTCAGAACCAGCCTTTTCCCCCGCAGCTACAAAGGCAGGGCGGGAGGTTTCCCCTGCCGGAGCAGAAGTCCCTCGGCTTGTCTGGCTCTCTGGAGTGGGTTGTGGGGGGTCCGGAGTGTGAGCTCCATCATGCCCTGGCTTGTCAGTCTCAGAAAAGGAGCTCACCAGCAGAGGCAGCAGGAGGCAGGAGGCCTGTGGGAATTGACTCCCTAGCTCCAATGGATGGAGAAAGAGGCGTTTTGCTGGACACGGCAGTGGAGTTGTCTGGGCCGCCTCCGGTGCCGGGTATCGCTCTCAGGCTCTCAGCAGCTGCCGGCAGAGGCGCGGAAGTTGTGCCGCTGGAGAGCGCGGCAGAAACGGCACCCGCCACGTCCAGCTCTGAAGGGCCGACGCGGGTGGGGTGAGGCTCCGCGGGGCTGGCGTCGAACAAGGCCAAGATGGCGGCCGCTTCTGCTGCGGGCGTCATGGCAACCGTCCCGTCTTCTGGAGTGTTTGTCGCGCTTGCCCACGCGTCTGCTTCTTCGGCAGGGCTCTGGGCTGCTGCCCCTCGGCTGCCTCCTGGCTCTGGGGAAGCCGCCGTTTCCCCGTCGATCCCAAGGTCGGAATTTACATCGTCCCCTCTCGGTGCTGGCACCAAACCGGTGGTTTCAACCTCTGCCGGAAAGGAGGGGCCTGCTTCACTGGCAGGGCTGCTGGAAAGGGCATGTTCTCCGGGCAGCACGGCCACGTCGGACGGGGCCGGAGGAGACTGGGCCGCCCTGCTAGTTCCCTCTGCCCACGGGCCCGCTGTCTCCGTGGCTGCCAGGCCTGCGGCAGGGAGCAAACCGCTCTCTGCTGTGGAGGGAAACTCGGCTCCGGGGGGGGACTCGTCCGCTGGGCCTGCCGTGGTGCTGGGCCCCAGACCTGCGCAAGCTGGAGGAAAGGAAACAGGCGTGAGTCAAGCTCAGGACCCGCTTGGTTCTAAAGCCAGCCTGGCTTGCAGACGGCGCCTCGCTTTTCGGTGCAGGACGACGCTCCCCGGTGGGGCCCTTTGGCGGGTCTAGGGAAGGGCCCCCACGCTGAACGGCCTCAGGGCTAATTACAGTAGATTCCGGTTTGCCGGGGCAGGGAAGGGACCCACCTAAGAAGGTTTCTCATTCAGGGGCTGCAGGTCACAGGGTTGCCTTTAGTTTCCTGTGTTTTCAGGCCTCTGCACCCCCCCCCCCCCGAATTACTACAATGGGCATTGCCTGGCACATTCCTTTATGGCACCTTGGCAAGGCCAGTCTGACACCGGGGCAGGCCAGCCTGGCTTTGAGCAGAGGGGCAAGCCCCACAGCATCTCTGGGGTGTCTGGACTCCGGGGTTCAGTTCTGTGCTCTGCCACCACCGGCAAGCTGAAGGTGGTCCTCCACTTGAAAACACAGGCCATCCACCACTTGCGGTGCGTGCCTCAGTTTCCCTATCACTGGATGCTGGCAGCTGGTTCGGAGGGGCGACGTGAGGGCTAACCCGTCCGTGTCCCTACAGAGCATGGAAGTGTGGTATTGGTCCTTTGCACCCAGGCTGCCTGGCTTCCCCTAAGCCAAATTGGGAGGCAAATATCACTGCGAGGACGGGGCCCAAACTGGAGCAGCTGTTTTCCCAAAATGCTCAGGCAGGCAAGTCTCCTGCTTTGTCCCACTCACACTGTGGGGAGCAGAACTGGGGACACCCTGTGTCCTTGGCTGACCCAAGACCTGCATGCACTTGAGAGCAGAAGGGTCCCGGGAACCACATACCAGCGGGGACCAGCCTGAGATCAGCGTATTATGGTCACTCCCCTACACCCTCTCACCCATGGGTGGCTGTGGGGAGGGGGCCACAGGCTACCCTGGCTCTACACCTCCCCCACCCAGCAGACAACTTTTGTCCACCTGAATGATGTAAAGGGGGAACAAGGGGCTGAGAATCCAGCCCAGGGTGTCCTTGGCCCATCCAGGAGTCTGAATTTGTGCTTTGATCTCTCCGGGATTTTAAGAGGGGGCTGATTTCAGGGGGTGCGGACCAGGCGGGGAGCTGCTGTCTGCTAGCTGGTTATGGGGCGCTGCCTTGCAGGGGAGGGGCAGAAGTCAGTACAGGGCTGGTGCATTTGCCTAGCAGCTGGGCGGAGGTATTGTTGGGCTGTTAGAATCATAGACCCATAGAGCTGGAAGAGACCTCAGGAGTCATGAAGTCCAGCCCCCTGCCCAAAGCAGGACCGACCCAACTCAATCAACCCAGCCAGGGCTTTGTCAAGCCAGGACTTAAACACCTCTAGGGATGGAGATTCCACCCCTCCCTCGGGACCCCAGCCCAGCGCTTCCCCACCCGCCTAGGGAAATAGTTTTTCCTAATCTCCAACCTAGACCTCCCCCACTGCAACTTGAGACCATCGCTCCTTGTTCTGCCATCTGCCCCCACTGTGAACAGCCTCTCTCCATCCCCTTTGGAAGCTCCCTTCAGGGAGTTGAAGGCTGCTCTCAAATCCCCCCTCACTCTTCTCTTCTGCAGACTAAACAAATCCAAATCCCTCAGCCTCTCCTCGTAGGTCACATGCTCCAGCACCCTCATCATTTTGGTCGCCCTCCACTGGACCCTCTCCAATGCGTCCACATCCTTTCTATAGTGGGGGGCCCAGAACTGGACACAATACTCCAGATGTGGCCTCGCCAGAGCCGAATAAAGGGGGATAATGACATCTCTAGATCTGCTGGCAATGCTCCTCCTAATGCAGCCTAATATGCCATTAGCCTTCTTGGCTACAAGGACACCCTGTTGACTCATTTCCAGCTTCCCATCCACTGTAACCCCAGGTCCTTTTCTACAGAACTGCTACTTAGCCAGTCGGTCCCCAGTCTATAACACTGCTTGGGATTCTTCCGTTCCACGTGCAGGACTCTGCACTTGTCCTTGTTGAACCTCCTCAGATTTCTTTTGGCCCAATTCTCCAATTGGTCTAGGTTACTGTGGACTCTCCCTGCCCTCCAGCGTATCTACCTCGCTCATCTGCAAACTTGCTCAGGGTGCAACCCATCCCCTCATCCAGGTCATTCATAAAGATGTTGAACAAAACTGGGCATTCTGCTAGAAACCGAGCGCCAGCCTGACATGGAGCCGTTGATCACTACCTGTTGGGCCCGTGTGACGGCGCGTTGGGGGTCCCCCGTCTCCTGCACCCCGAAATGGCACGAACAGACTCCACCAGCCAGTGGAATTGAGGGTGGTTTATTGCTCCTCCAGGATACAGCATAGCACAGATGTCATCTGGTTACAGGAACTGGGGCTAAGAGGCCTCAGTGCCCCCTTGAGATGGGGGGTTACTGTGGACTCTCCCTGCCCTCCAGCGTATCTACCTCGCTCATCTGCAAACTTGCTCAGGGTGCAACCCATCCCCTCATCCAGGTCATTCATAAAGATGTTGAACAAAACTGGGCATTCTGCTAGAAACCGAGCGCCAGCCTGACATGGAGCCGTTGATCACTACCTGTTGGGCCCGTGTGACGGCGCGTTGGGGGTCCCCCGTCTCCTGCACCCCGAAATGGCACGAACAGACTCCACCAGCCAGTGGAATTGAGGGTGGTTTATTGCTCCTCCAGGATACAGCATAGCACAGATGTCATCTGGTTACAGGAACTGGGGCTAAGAGGCCTCAGTGCCCCCTTGAGATGGGGGGATCCCATCCCCCTCCCCAGTTCCTTCTTCCCTGCTTTCCAGACAGGAACCAACTCTCCTCTTCCAGCCCTGCCCCCAGCCAGGGCCGCATTCCACCTCCCTTTGTTCCTCTCCATGGGGGGTGACTGGTCAGACAGGTTGAGACCTTCTTTGCATAATGACTCATGGCCTGTCCTTCTGGGCACGGTACCAACTGCAGCCAGTGGGGTAGAAACCAGCCAGGTACCCCCACTACGTCACAGCCCGACAGTCTAGCCAGCTTTCTATCCATCTCACATTCCATGTATCCAATCCACACTCCCTTAACTTGCTGGCAAGAATATTGTGGGAGCCTGTATCAAAAGCTTTGCTAAAGTCTCGGTATATCACATCCACTGACTTCCCCACATCCACAGAGCCAGTCACCTCATCATAGAAGCTAATCAGATCGGTCAGGCAGGACTTGCCCTTGATGAATCCATGTTGACTGTTCTAGTGACCCGGCCGAGTGCACCCGGACACCTCCCTGCTTAGCCTCTGTCGGGCCGCCAATGGAGGCAGGTGCTGAATACAGATTCGCTCATTTGCATAATGAATGCCAAGCTGCTTGTGGGTAAGCCAGGGCGCTGCACTGCATAGCCGCTGTGCACCCCTCTCCCCCCCCCCATCTCCTCGGCCATCAACCAGCCGGCCCCTGGCAGCCGCGAAGCCTTTCTCCAGGACCAGCTCAGAGCGGGACATGGGGTAGGACAGAGGCTGCTGTTGATTGGCCTGGGGCTTCAAAGGGCAGGGAGGAACATGTGGGTGAGCTGCCGAGCCCACATTCGTCCGGAGCAGCGCGGGGTTTCCTGCACCCTCCGAGGCAGGCTGCTCTGTAAAGTGCCACCGATGGTCACTGCTGCGTCTGTGTTTTTCCCCCCCTCTTGCATATTTCCCTCTGGCTGGGGGGGCAGGGCGGCAGGGCAGGTGTATCAAAGCCCAAAGTGCTGGCCAGACGTCGGGCGCAGTCAAACGTGCACTGGCCGTGGGCTGACAGCAAACCCACCGGCACCAAACCCCCTTTTTAAGGAGAACTGGTTAATTCACCCTCTTTTGGGGCTTGAGCCTGCCCGGTGCCTGCCACACACAGAGCTGCCTTAACGTAACTCCGCTGTGACTCAGTTTCCCCTGCTACCTTGTCGGCCCTTTGCTGCCAGGCCGGGGGATAAAAGTTCGGTTAATGAAACTACAGACGTCTCTGAGGGGCAACAGCCTCCGACAGGCTCCCACGCCGAGACCGGGTGAGCTACGGTCACGCACCCGCCAGGGAGCAAAGCGCAGGCCTTAGGGTGCAGGAGCCACAGCCAGCCCCCTAGGACAGCCCAAGGCCTTGGGCTCCGTGTCCCCATGTCTCCGGGAGGCGCGCTGACAAGGGAGGACGCTGGGTGCTAAGCAGGGTGCTAGGGGCCGAATGGGCGAGGCGACTTTCCTGCCTCTGTCCCTCCGGAGCCGGAATGAAACAAGTGCCAGACCCTGGCTCCGA